CCCCCCCCCCAAAAAAACCCAAAGAAAAGAAAAAGACCAGAGAAGGGGCATGCCAAAGCACGATACTTTGTCATAAAACTGCAAATGAAGAGATGGGTCCTCTGCTGTGCCCTTGTGTTGAAAAATATTAGTGCTGCTGAGCCATTCAGGGAACATAATTCCACCAGGAAAGACACCAGGGAGAGCATCCTCCTACGGAGCCGTGCTTCCCCCTTCTGCTGCTGCCCTTCTACCCTGTGTGGGGAGCTGGTGAGACTCTTACTGGCTCTTACTCTCAAGACTTGTTTCTTAGAGATCAAAATAATGATGTTGTTTGTTTGCCTGAAAGTGGGTAAACAGCGAGTACAGCTATTGAGAAACAAGGGTGGTATTTTTTCTTGTACTTAATACTTCTGCCCTGGCTTCTCTGTGTATCTTGTCCTACGTGCTCATGGTTCTTCTCACCCTTACACATCCTCTTTACGGCACAGTCAGCCTTCATTCCCCACCTTCCCTCTCAGTGAACTAATAGAGAAATCTCCCATGTTTTTCCTAGATAGTTGTCAACACATCAAACTTGAGGGGAAGAAAAGTAAGAAACTGAAGTCCTCCTTGCTAATGTTTGTTGTGGCTCCCTCTTATATACTGGAGACTGGACTGCCAGGAATTTTTAGCATCATCTGTGTTAAATAGGCTTCCAACTTAGATGAAACAGCAGCAGAGCTACGATATCTCTGTTAAAGACATGCAGATAAGAATACTGTAACTCACCGTGGAAGATTACCGTTGAAGAGAAAAAATGTGTGTGAGGCAGTATTTAGAAATGAAGATCGGTGAACTCGATCTGTTTAATATCCTGAGGAATGCTAAATGTTTGAGCAAAGTTCAAGTGCTCAAAACCATCTAGTAGGTGTATCAATCAACAGATTGCATTTTGAATGTAACTTCCTATGTTCTAATGTATCATGCTAGGTATTTTTGAAGACGGAGAGTGAATTAAATTCTTGCAACTGTTACGTATAAAACTGCCCTGAAGCGAGAAAACTTATTGTCTTCAAGGGATTTAATTTCCCCCTATGCGTGGTTTTGGTGGGGGTTTTTTTTTGGTAGTAGTAGTAGTCAAGAAACCCCAACTGACAAAGGCCTGGTTTGGAATCACATCATATGTCAGGTGACACACAGTATTGCTGTACAGTGTATTTGCCACTGATGTTTGTCTCACAGTCCCGAGGCAGTGACGTTACAGCTTCTTTGTATAGCCAAGAGGTTCCAGGAGCAAAGCATGTCGCAGGCACAAGACGGTTAGGGGTGTCAGTCACCGAGATGCTCGGCACTTGCATCTCCTGCTGAGCTCAGTAGAGTTTGCGAGTGTTCTGCTCCTAGCAAAGAAGATACCAGGCCCTAAGCAAATAAGTTGAAAGTGACACCTCAATTACGTTAATGCTTCGGCATTTCTTTCCTTAAAAATTACTTAATCGGAATATTACACCACCACTGTGGTTTTAAAAAAAAAAAAAACAACCCACAACTTTGTCACTGGTTTCCTGAGACTAGGTATTACCTTCATGTTTTGGCACGAACAGTAATGTAACAAAGCATGCAACAGAATGGGAAGAGTTTTGGAATGAAAAGTATGACCTCATCGCAATGAGAGGAAGGTTCAAAGTAACCTCTTCTGAAACAGTAGTGCATTGATTTTTGGTTTTAATAGAAACTTTATTTCCTTTAAATGCTTTAAAATCCCGAGAAGCAGCTTTAGTTAAGCTGGTTTAGTTCTAACATTCTTGAATGTCAGAATTCTGTACCATAACCTTACACTGCTCCTGCAAATGCATTTGTCTGACTTTTGCTGTAAAATCTGACTTGCGTTTGCGGGGGCAAGCGGTTAACTTACAATCTAGCTTGAGTTTGCTGGGGCTGGGGGTGTTAACTTACAGCATTGGCACAAGTGCATTCTTCTACAACATACTTAAAAACTTACAAACTATCATTGTCTTTGTGGAGATTATGGAATTAAATGTTTCTGGTCATCCCATAATCTTTATGTTTTTAACTTTTCAATTCGTTGATTGCAGCTGAGCTGGGAGAGTGTGAGCACCCAGAGCACACACCAGAACTCGTGTCTGAATTCAGGTTTGCACCAAACCAGACCGAAACAATGGAATTTGACATTTTTCAGAAGTGGAAAGAGTGCAGGTAGGGTACCTGTGTGGGAGTGGTGACTCTAGCAACAGGAAGTTTTCTTCTCTTCCAAAGTCAAATATGTCCACAAGAACCCCTTCAACAGATGTGAAATGATGATTATGTTTGTCAGTTGAGAAGTACTGTAAATAGATTCTGAGCCCTCCCCTTCCCTAGAAATAGCAAGTGTAATTAAGGAAGGTTGGTGGGGTGAGTTTTAATTTTTTTAATTTGTCTTTATTTAGATCATTTCATAACAGTTTAAGCAGTCAGATCTTTTTCCTGTTTATATTGGAAACAATTCTCTTTCTCTCTCTTTCTCTCCTTTCACACATGCACATATAAATTTTTATGTTCAGGGTAGTAGCAAACTCTTTTTCCTGTCTTTTGTTAATAAATATGGTAGATTTCGGTGATTCTGTCTTACCTGAACTTTCATCCTTATTGGCAATTTTAGACCTTTTTCAATTTTTGTCCCTCTGGTTTATTTTCATTTGGAGGGAAGAGGGTAAAAACATAAGCTAAACTTGAAATACCATTTAGTGTCATTAAGATTGAGGACCCAAAGGAAAAGGTTAGGGGAATGAATTTGAAAACATTTAAAATGCACAAAAATTTCTTACCATAAAGTGTAAATAAATTTTATGCTCTTAGGGGAAAGAGCCCGGCGCAGGCTGAATTGTGCTACTTGAACAAAGCTAAATGGCTAGAAATGTATGGTGTAGATATGCACGTAGTTAAGGTAAGATCCACGTACCACTTTATTAATGTGGGGTCCCTGCCCTGGTGCGGGTCAGTCCCTCGGGGTGTCCTTGTAGTGGCGTGGGTTACCCTGTGGGCCGTGGTCCCTCAGAATTCCCTCCCTCCTGCAGGGCTCCTCCCAAGAGTGCATCTCCAGCCACGTCCCCCACAGTGTCCCTTTTCCCTTTGCCCTTTATTTTTTTTTTTTTATTTTTTTTTTTTTTTTCCTTTTGCACCTCCTTCCCCTGGCAGCTACTGCTTGCTGTTAAACACAGGTGAGCCCAGGTGTGGGCTCCCCTGGCTGCAGCGTTGGTGTGGGGCCATTTCCACAGACATCGGAGCCGTCTGGGGCAGCACGCAGCCTCTTCCCACGCAGGGCACCCTGCAGCCTCCTGTTGCCAAAACCCACCAGTTTGCACCCAATACAGATGCATATTCTTCTGCTCTGTAATGTTAAAAAAATACGCAAACCTTATTGTTTAGTTTAAAGCCTATGGATTTTGACATACTACCGTAGTAAGATTTACACTGCTAATGGCATAATTGATTATTGATTCTGTTCTTGCTTGCAGGGAAGAGATGGTTGTGAATATGCTCTTGGACTGACACCAACGGGCATATTGATCTTTGAAGGAGCCAACAAAATAGGCTTATTCTTTTGGTAATCTGTTTTTGTGTTATATTCCTTTCTATTAAAATGCTGAAATCTTTCTCCTTTACGTAATGGGATCTTGACTACGTTTTGTAATTTAGATTGAATCTGCAAGGTTAAAATATCAAGGTTAAACTTGAAGGTAAATTGGCCTGGCTAGAAGTACCACTCTCAAATGTGAAGTATTTGTTGAAAAACAGTGACATTTCCAGTAAATCGTATTTCTATTACAATTTCTGAAGTGTGTTCCAGGATTGCAAATCTCCCCTGTGTTTTGGGGGATGGTCCTAGATTACAAAATGCCATTTTTCCATTAATTTTCTTTTTGCTTCTTGTGTTTAGGCCTAAAATCACAAAAATGGACTTTAAAAAGAGCAAACTAACGCTTGTGGTTGTGGAAGATGATGAACAGGTAACTTTCTTCCCTTACTTGGGCCTGATCCAACAAAGTGTGTTGTGTGCTCAGGCTGGTGAGAACACAAGGGAGGCTCAGCACACTGTTGGCCCAGGCTGTATTTCTCCTGCCAAGGACAGTAACTAATACCATGCATGCCAACTTCCAAAGCTTTTGTTTCTGCATTTAGGGCAGAGAGCAAGAGCACACATTTGTTTTCCGGTTAGACAGTGCCAAAACGTGCAAACACTTGTGGAAGTGTGCAGTGGAGCACCATGCTTTCTTCAGATTGCGAGCCCCAGCAAATAGTAAATCTAGTAGATCCGACTTCATAAGGCTGGGATCACGCTTCAGATTCAGGTATTTAGCGAAGTAACAGCAATATATTTGTGTTTATACAAAGGAGTGGGTCCAGCATCCAGCAAAAGGCAGTAGTTAACTTTGTTTATTTCTGTATTTTAAGTGGGCGGACAGAGTATCAAGCAACACATGGGACAAGATTACGCAGGACTAGTACATTTGAAAGAAGGCCCAGCAAGCGATATCCTTCTCGAAGGCATTCCACTTTTAAGGGTAAATGTTTGTACATGTGTTCACTGAACCAGTCATGCAGGTGTCCTGTTAACTCATATAAATGGTGTATTACAAGCATAAAATCTGTACCACAGTATAAAAAGAAAAACATGTCAGACCACCTAAAAATCAGACTTTACATGTTTTTTTTCCTCCGGAGTCAGAGTCCGTTGTTCGTATCTACCGTTTTTAATCTCTGTCTACGCTTAATTCTTCCATCCCCCATCTGTGAAGAAGGAACCTATGGTTTCTTTTGTTGCTCTGTTGAGGAGGAAAGAAAGTTGCATCAAACTCAATGAGGGAAAGCATGTAATATTGTCATGTAGAGTGGAGCAGTGTCCAAAAGCCTCACTGACTTGCTTATCTAGCCAGACAGTTCTAGGGTTATTGAGCAGTCTCATTATGCGGTTGTTGCTGCTTTCCTGACAGTAGTGGCATGTTATTCACCTGTCCAGACTCTGACCTTAACTAGCTTTCTCTAGGACTTGAAATGTGTTGAATTTGAATGGAATGACAAGGAATTGATTTCCCTTGTGGTTTTGTCATTTGTCCTTCAAAACTTAAGCTGAGATTTTTATTCCTTGTAGAAAAACCTAGGAAGGAGCACTGCAAGACAACCCCCTCTGAATTCTGTATTACTTGAGGCTGGAGGTGTAGTTGCTGTATGGAGCAGAGTGAGCTGACATTCCCTTAGGATGTCTTTGCACTCCTTTGTATTCCTAGAATATGAATCTCAGTTCCATGAAAAGTCCTTGTGGTGGTGTTATGGGGGCACTTCTATTTCTCATGTACAATGGGGGGAAAAGGGTAGCAAGCATGTATGCTTTCTAGAGGCTGTAACCGACCCTCCCCGCCCTCCCCCCTTTCCTTAGTACGTGTCAGTTTTTTACAGAAATGCAAATTTATTAAATTTGTGAGATACTGTTACGTGATACGTGAGAGCCAATAATAAGGTAAGTGTGGATGATTTCATAAGTGGAAAAATGGATTATTTTATTTTTACAATAACAGGATTTGTCAGACCTGCAGGTTATACCTTGGGTCTCAGTGCTTCTGTACTTTTGTCTGTGAGATGTGGGGAGAAGGGAGAAAGTGTGGCTTATGCTCAGTTTAGTTCTCTGTGCATAGCAGCCTGGCAGAACTTCTGTCACCCCCAGATGATCTCCCTCCAGAGAGCTCAACAGCATGTTTGTTAAGTTAATGCAAAAACTCCCTTTAGATTATTGTCTTTCACGCATCTCTTGGCCATTAAGACCTGTACCTAGTTGCAGCCCACAGGCATTGGATTCTGTCCTAGCTCGGTCTCTTTGAGACTTGTACAGTGTCTCATTAAGTTTGTCATCCATTTTCTGAATTCAGCAGAGACTTGGATTTTCAGCTGTATCACTCAGCAGTTTTTCAATGCTCTTGAGAAATATGCTGTTTGTCAGGAAAAGGAAAAGATACCTCCCAGTTACTCAACTGCCTTCTTCACTGTTCTTTCCAGCCCGTCCAAAGCACAAGCCAAGACCTTGTTGCTCAAGATTGCTCAGTACCTTCCTGTATTCTCAACTGATGGGCTTTTTTTGGCTACCATCCTTCACTGTAATAAGACGCAGGCCATTACCAGCTTCAGGAATAGTCTGATTTCTGTAAGGTGCAAAATTTCTGTGAGGGGTAGCTTCCGATTTCCTAAGGACTCGATGGTATTGACATGGTAGCTGCAGCAAGGTGAGAAGAGTAGTGTTCTGGTTGTGCAGACCTTACTCTGTCAAAAGTCCTTCTTTTGTGACGTTTGAAGGGAATACTCTGTCTGCTGTCATCTTTGACAGGCTTTGCCCCTTGAAGAAATAGAGGGAGGTTTGTGTCTGCCTCATACTTTATGTACTCACACAGGAATGCTAGAAAGCACAGGGCTGCAGTTGTGATTCTGACGCATTTGTGCAGATATGTCTGTATGAGGATTTGCTTAAGCTGTAGTGTAATATCCCAATCACAATAGCTGCAAAATGACTGATATTTCACAGATCTTAAGTTTTTTTCACCTGTCTTAAGGTTTTTTGTTTGTTTCTTTTTAAGCAAACAATCCTGTGAAAGCAGCACAGCTGTGGTAAGTGACTGCCCAAGTTCTCTCTAACTCTCAGTTGCTGTTGTCGGGCAAAAAGGATTCTGAAGACCATTTCTGCATTAGGATTTGTCGAAGCAAATTCTCTGGTGTGAGATGAATTGCTTTGGGATCTCTCATTATTCAGCACCAGATTTTTCTTGGGGACTGCCTATGAGACTTTAAGTGCTTCCATTTTTAAATCTTTTTTTCCTTTTTGTGTTTGAGATCAGACTAAAGTTAAACATACTTCCTTTCTGCTCATTGCTATTATGCTAGCTTATCTAGCATTATTTGTTCCTGTTTCATAAATGTAAAATGAAAAAAAAATTTTGCACCCCTTTTTCTTGCACTCTAATTGCTGTGGTGTGTATCTTGAATAAAATATTGATGTCCTTAAGAATACGAATTTTATTTCACTGTAATACTTCCCTGAAGAGTAGTACCCTGAACTATAAGAAGTTGTGATGTAGATGTACTGATTACATAAAAGCTCATTTTTTTTTTCTCCCTTAGTGCTAAAAATACTCCTGAAGTCCATAACTACCAGGTAAGAGCATAACAATTGTTGAGGAGAATATTGACATTTTCTTATTTAGTCATAAATATTTTGGCTCTAGTACAGCTGGTTTGCTCCCCTTTCTTTTCTCTGGGGTGAGATTCCTTGAGGTGGTTCAGAAATGAACAACATCACATTGGGAGTTAAGGGGAAGGTGGAGGGACTCCTCTCTTTCTTCCTCTGTGTTCTTGGATGCTCTGTAAGCTGAATACACTCCATTTGCCACCCTCTTTCCCTTCCCTTCCCTTTCTGTGAAATCACAGGTTAAAGCCTTTGGGACTGTGAATATGATGGACCTCAGGAGACTGCTCTGTGAGCAAGCTTTTATCTAGAGCAGCCTCTCAGGTTGGATGATCCATGACAACAAGTTCCAAGTTGCAATTATCTCCCCATCACAACACTTAAGGAGTTCATTGCTGGTCAAATGTTTGTTTGTTTGTTGTTTTTGTTTGTTTTGGCTTTTTTTTTTTTTAAACAAGCTCCTTCATACACTTCAGTGAAAAACCTTACCCATTTTTTATCTGCGATACTAGCAGTCAGTGCTACTGAGAAAACAAGCTGTGCTTTCATCCAACCTGAGTGTGTGCACGAGAACTTAGTTTTAGCACTTGTTTTTATTAAAAGCCTCACTAGTGATTTTGTGTCACTGTTTCTTCTCAAGATCTTATGGATATGAGAGAGAAATGCTGTCGCCAAAGATAGGTGACCTTCTGAAGATTGCTATTACAATAGTAACCTTTCTCACTCTCCACCTTTGATTAAAGCTGACATTCTTTTGATGTGCTTTCTATGAGCAGCACTAGGTGTGCCAGGTTGTCTCTCAAACAGCAAAGCAATTTTCTTTGCATTTTCCCATGAGTGTGTCCTAATGAGCAAGCTCATCACCAAGAGGTCTCATGTATATGCTCAATGGCGTGGGAGAAGGTCTGAAACAGTGGGATTTCTAGGGCTCACAGGGAGCATGTTTCTCATGGCCCCAGGAAAATAAAAAGTTAAAGTTAATAGGGAGTTTTTATATGATTTAATTAACCGGGTTCAATGTTTTCACTTGCAGCCACAGTATCATCCAAATATACATCCTGCTCAGCCACACTGGCATCCACATACACCTGTGAATGTAAGGTAAGCAATCTTCACTTTGTGAAAAAGACGATTACTTCTTTATTTATCTTACTCTGTTGGCGTGAAGCTTTGGTGGACGTATTGGGCAATTTTCTGCACATGAAAAGCAAACAGAAGTTAGAAATATGTGATGTAGAGGCAGCATTAAATAACTTCTGTTTAGATTTTGCTTTGGAATGTCCTAATCTTGATGAAAATTTTTTTCAGGTTGATTTTAATTCAGAATTTGAAATACAACGTCAGTGTATTTCTGTAGGGTGTATGTAGCGTGGGAAGATTCTCAGTAGCTTCAATAAAACTAATTGCAATTTGATCAGTGTTTAATCTCCTAAAACAAAGAAGAAACTCATTTTAGAGTAAAGTTAAGTTGCGAGTGAACAGGTTCTTGCATTGGAGCACTTTTTTCATCTTTTGCAGAAATGTATATGGCAAAATGACATGTACGTGGAACAATGTAATGGCACTTTACTGATAATTAGCATTAGTGAAATTATAACATTGAGGTTTTGAGAACTGTTTCACAAAAATATTCCTGTATGTGCTGTTGTGTTACTTTCTCACCATACTTTTTTTATTTTGTAACTACTAATGAGAGAAATTGACTGAAAAGAAATTTTGGAATAAATTCAGTCCAAGTTAGAAGCAGCTTGGTGGAACGCACAGTGGAGGCATGCACCTGCTGGTGGATGTGTCTGTACATGTGATAAAAATCAGCTGCTACTTTATCCTAATAAAAAGTAACCTTTTTAGGTTACTCAGTTTTTTAGACAAATTATTACTGTCTTGACTGAAAAATACCAATATCCTAATCTTCATTCCAATTCATCTTACATTTTTATCTCTATATTCTTACATCAGGATAGGTAGACTTTGTTCTTAGTGTAGGCAGGCTCTGGAGATGAGGCTGAGCTTAAAATGGATGAAAAGACAATTTGGTCTGAGTTTGAGTCTGAGAATGCAGGGAAAAGGCAAATATGTTATTAGAAATACTTATTAGGCAGAGAAGCAGACATACTCATTGTCATCTCAAAATTCCTGGCATCAGCAGTAAAACATACTAAATTTATGCTAGAAACAGAAAACTTTAAATTGGGTAATTATCTTTGCCTGTACTTCAAGATTCTTCCTGTTTTGAGGGTTTACTTGTCCATTTAATTCTGTGTGAGTTAAGATGTACAATTTCACATTACAAAAGAGTGATTGCCGAGAGAGGTTAATGATTTTATAAATCGTTTGAGGTTTTGATGAAATTTTTCTAAAGATTTCTTCACTCATGGTACTAGTCTGTAACATTTTAAAGCCAAATAATTCACCCTGGAGCAGAGCTATACTGAAATAAGCACAATAATGTATTGTAATATGTGTAGACAACCTCCCCCTTCAGCCCTTCCACTGCCTGGACAAAGATCAAGGTCAGTGAAATATGAACAATGGCTTTTAAATAGCTAGGCTTGTAAGGCTAAAAAATGTACTGAAAAGCTCAGTCGTGCAGGCTCAGTAGAAAAACTGCTTAGAATTTTTGTCCCAGGCAGGTAGAAGCGTGTAAGTGTACGGCTGAATTGGAAGCTTCAAGTTATTGTTACTTGGAGTCAAAGTGGAAGAGTTGGATGTTTTAACATCTTGGATAGCTTGATTTGAAAAAGCTTAATCCATCCAGCTATGAACTTGAGATCAAACCACAGATGCATGAAATTCTTTCTGCTGGGCGTGCAAGTCTAGAATGGGCCAAGGGCTGAAATGAAACTACCTGTGCAATACATCTTACATATGAGGGTTTTGTTGGATAATTTGCGAAATAATATGTGGAATCGCATCTCAGTCTTCCTTGGTAAAATTCTTTTGTTGACATTATTTGTTTGCAGTTAACTTAATGTTCAGTCTTCTGAGAAAATTCATTCCAGTTAACAGTTGTCATTATATAACTTTAGAATATCTCCAAAAAAAGGTAAAAACTAAACCTGCCTGTATTTCTGCTAGCATAAAAAAACCTGCCAAAATAAAAAGTGCAACTTCACTTTGGTAATAAGGGAATTTTAAATATTGTGGTTTCCTACATACTGTTCAAAATTTTTATTTATTTACATGCACACACCCCACCACCCCCAATGATTCAGGAGGCACTGTAGGAATGGTTGAGATTAATATCTCTAAGCAGCAATAAGTAATGAACAAATAAAGAAAAAATATTTTTTTCTCCTAGTACTTTTGCAAGTTTCACTACACAGTCACAGAGGAATACCTGTACTAACTATAGACTCTAGGTGTTCATCCTAACAAAATGTGACTATGTAACTTACAGGCTGCTTCAGTGTAATTAACTGCACCAGCACTGAACAAATGGCAATATTTACAGAAGAGCAGTTCTCATTCTTAATAGGATTGCCTTTCTTAATTTTTTAGACCTTAAGGATATATTTCCGTGAGCTCAACTTTTTGCATGATATGGTTTATTTTACTTGTTGTACGCATTTAGTTTTCTTACAGCCTCCTCCTCCCTCAGGAGCATTGATGCACGGCACTTGTCTATAACACTTGAAAACAGAGAGGGTTTTTAATGACTGAGCTCCAATTCAAAGCCTTTTGAAATCAGCTAAAAGATTCCCAGCTGCTTCAGTGGCTTCTGCATCGGACCTATAGGTCCGCCACTATTTCCTTCCCTTACCGATAGTTGCCCATCACACCCTACTCATGCTTAGCACTTGCTGGATGAATTCATGTTACTGTGTAGCACTCATAAGTTTACTTCCATCTCTCACTAACCAATAACTGTGCAAATGGTACAGGCCACCCTATCATGATGACAGGCCATATTGGAAACCCCCCACAAGTGGAGAGGACAGCAATTTACGGTATATCCAGGAACAGAACCAGAAGAATTTAGGAGGAGTCCAAAGCATGGTGTACCAAGATAAACTCATGACGACTCTCTGAAAAACAGCCATCTTCATTTCACCTGCCATCTTAGACGATCATTGCATTCCATGGTCCTTGTCTGTCTGCAGTATGTTCAAAGTGTATTGTGCAAAAAGTGTGTGTCTTTGTATGTACATCCATCGTTGTTTCGTGTTCATGGACATTCTTGGGAAAAGTATTTTCCGTATCTTTGTAAAAAATCTTGAAAAACCTTTTGTGAAAGCTGGTAAGAATTTCCAGTGCCCTGAGACCAGAAATATTTCTGGGGATTTACATTCTACCATACTTTTGAATCTGTGACCCTCTGCCCGCTGTTTCAGATCAGCCATTTGTGCCTTAGTTCTTTTTATAACCTTGTTTCTTTTGAGTCAAATTAATAGATGAAGTTTGAGAAACTTTGTTTTTTAGTTGACGTGCAAATAGGAGACTGGAGGGAGGAAAAACCAGAATTCACGCTGGCAATCAAAATGGCTTGTGGACCACCAACAAAGGGAGCCTACTGAGGTAGTCATAGGTTTGGGTGTCATTTGTTTTTAACTTTTGTGTTCCACAGCAAAAATACAGGTGCTTGCCTAACTTTGAAAACAAGTCTAGGGAAAGAACACTGTAATAAACTTCATGGAGTACGTGTATTCCTTTTTTTTGACTTACTGATCATATTGATAGCATTCCCCAAAACCATACCTGCTGCTATAAAGGCAAGAATGTTAAAAATGAATCCTTGCTGAAAGGGTGCTGCTGTCGTCTTATTTTTAATGTGATTATGGAAGTTGAACTATACAATCGCATAAAACTACCTACCGATAACTTTTCTCTGAGTGGATTCAAAACCACAGCTCTTAATCGGTACACTACAAGATGACGATGATCTAGTGAAATAGCTCTATTTTTTTAAAGTTAGACGTCTGCAAAGTTGAATGTATATTTTACAAACCTAGGTCTTTAAATAGGTTTGGCTGGTATTTTGATCACTTGCCGATATTTTTTTTTTATTTTTTTTTTTTAAACTGGAAATCATAGTGCCATCTTCACTCATGCATTTGTTTTAATTAGGCCTTACATCTGTGGTCTCTCTGAAGTTGTTGGAATGAATGAATCTTCATTTGGGATATTTTAAAAATTAAGTAGTTTTTAACTTGATTTTGATAAATGCACATTTGTAAATGGTTACAACCATGAATTTTTTCAGAGCAAATTTGACAGTGTATAACTTTTGTGAAATATATTTGTTTACAAATTCTATCTTTTAATATTTGTTTTGATCTTTCCTGTATGTGCTAAGTACAAATAAAAATTTTCAATCTTCTTGTTCTGATTATGATGCATTATTGATTTCTGAAAGATTTGGGGGGAGGGGAGAGAGATATGATACACGTTATGCTTGTACCTGTTTTGCCCTGGAATCACTAATGCTGTGCTGGATCGACGTTTTTTCTGTGCAGCCTCTAGAGAGCGGAAAACAATAAAGCAACTGTGCACTGAGATGTGAAAATGCCAGAGTAAGCCTAAGGTGGGTAATCACAGAGGCTGACTTCAGTTTCCCCCAGCTAGTCTTCCTCTGTTTTAGCAGCATTTTATTTGGGAAAGGAAGAAAGAGAAACTTTGTTGGAGCCACTGGAACAAGAGCCTAGTTCAGCTGCTGCTCTGGATGCCTTCTGGAGGAGGTTTTTTTTGAATACTCGCGTTAAAGCGGAGCATTGTTGCTTTACAGTTTACACACCTACGTTCATAATACAGTATCGTTCTTGTCATGTAACTTCATTGGTTTCTGTGTGGTTCGTTGTCAGTGTTCCTCCTCATCACGTGGTGTTATCTGCGGTTTGGTTTGTTGCTGAAGGTGCACTGAATGAGGGATCTCCCTGACAGATCGCAAGAAAAGAGAGCATAAGGCCTAACCGGTCCTTAAGCGTTAAAACGCCTCGTGCAGGAGGTCTGCACAGGGTGAAGAACAACCTGTGGGAGTTGTCTGCTCTGCAGTTTGTGTGTGTCCCCTCAAGGGAAGCACTTGTCGTTCTGCTTCTCTGGAGAAGGCACTCACGCACTCCACACCCCCCTTTTGCTTTTTCATCCCACATCCTTGCTGTCTG